TCCCTGAAATGGACTTGCATCGATCGACGTCCTGCCGACCTTGATCGACGTCCTGCTGACCTTGATCGTTGTCCTGCTGACCTTGGTCGACGTCTTGCCGACCTTGATCGTCGTCCTGCCGACCTTGACTGACTCCGTGCGACTGATCGTCGTCTGCCGACCTTGATCGACGTCTTCGACCTGATGATCGTCCTGCCGACCTGATCCGACGTCCTGCCGACCTGATCGACGTCCTGCCGACCTTGATCGTCGTCCTGACGACCTTGATCGACGTCCTGCCGACCTTGATCGTCGTCTTGACGACCTTGATCGTCGTCCTGCCGACCTTGATCGTCGTCCCGCGGACCTTGATTGTCCTCCTGCTGAACTCGATCGACATCCTGCTGAACTCGATCGACATCCTGCCGACCTCGATCGACGTCCTGCCGACCTTGATCGTTGTCCTGCTGACCTTGATCGACGTCTTGCCGACCTTGATCGTCGTCCTGCCGACCTTGATCGACGTCCTGTCGACCTTGATCGTCGTCCTGCCGACCTTGATCGACGTCCTGCCGACCTTGATCGTCGTCCTGCCGACCTTGATCGTCGTCCTGCCGACCTTGATCGTCGTCCTGCTGACCTTGATCGTTCGCAACGCTCCCGTTCCGAGGATCCGCGAGCGGGGAAGGGGCGCGTACGTCCGGATCGACCCGCTTGCATCCGGGCGCCGTGAAACCTCGCCTGCGGCCGTCGTCTCGGAGAACGCCTCTACGGTGGCGGACTCCCGCATCATGACAAACAGCTTCTCAAAGACGTCGCTGCTCTGTGCTGGCTCCTCCCCGGCGCGGCGGCGCGCTCGCTCTGCGGGGTGCGGCAGCGCTGCGCAAGACGGCCGCTGGCGACGATGGCAGGGTCGTCCAGCAGTCTCGCGTCGTCGCACGGCGACGGGAAGCGAGCGAGCTTTCGACTTGTCGTTCGCTCTGTCGAGGGGCGGCATCGTTCCTCGCTGCTGGAGCCGCATCCGCTAACTTCCTTCCATCTCTGACTGCTGCTCCCCTCTTCCGATTTGGTTCGACTTTCGGTCTTTTGGGATTTGATGGAGTCTGTTTCGGCCAGCTTCTTGCCTTTAGTTACCTCAACTGTAGAATGCAGTAATGCATGTTATACATACATTAAATTAATACTAGCAGCAAGCGCTGGTGCTGCCCAGGAAAAGGTAGACTCCATAAAATGAAGTGATTAACAACACATAATACCATACAATATATATATATATATAATATTGTATGGATTATGTTTAATCACTTCATATATTATATATATATATATATATATATATATATATATATATATGCATATCATATCATATCATATCATATCATATCATATCTGTCATTAGCAAAAACTAGCACTGCAATGTTGAGCACAAACAGTGAGTAATGTAATTATTAGCTATGTCTGCAGTTTCTTTACAATATTCTGTAGCATGATGGCAGTGACTTTGAACATACCTTGCTGCGCTTGTAGCTCTGCTCTCAGGTCTAATAAGAGGATTGACTCTGAGTTTTTGATGCAGGTGAAAAGGGGTCCTTCCACAGTTGTGGTACACCAAAGTACTTGTAGGCGCCCTCTTAGCCTGTCATAGATGTAGTCCCACAATTTTGGGGCACTGAGAGCCCATCCTAAGTTTCCTCTAGTATAGGGATCTAAAAAATATAAAAACCAGTGTATAGAAATGAAACAATTAAAGAGTTAACAGTTAATTGTAATAAAACCAGTATTAATCCAGGGTCATCTGCAATATATTACTCAGGAAATAAAACTGCAACTACACACATTTCTCTCTGCATGTCCACGTTATATAGCACTAGCAAGGATCCACAAAGTAACATATACCTTTGATGAGACCAAAATGCTATATTAGGATTTTTACCAAACCATGGAATGACCAGGTACAAATTTCGACCCTAGTTTTCCAAGTGTAGAGGCAGGGGTTAAGTTATCGTTTGCCAAATTCCCCAAATGTGAATTAAAAGTTGAATTTGGCGAAAAAATGTCATTATAAATTTGCCAAAAAGCTAAAGCTAATTAGGCCCTTCAGGCTGAACTCAAATTCTACCCACTAGAGACCGCTACAAGCCTATTCGTAGGCCGCTCGAATTCTACACAAGATCGCTACTTGTACCTTCTATAGACTATAGTATGCAACATTGTAACTTCTACAAACAATAACATGCAACTTTGTAACTTCTACAAACAATAACAGGCAATGTTGTAACTTCTACAAACAATAACATGCAACTTTGTAACTTCTACAAACAATAACATGCAACTTTGTAACTTCTACAAACAATAACATGAAACTTGTAACTTCTACAAACAATAACATGCAACATTGTAACTTCTACAAACAATAACATGAAACTTTGTAACTTCTACAAACAATAACATGCAACTTTGTAACTTCTACGAACAATAACATGAAACTTTGTAACTTCTACAAACAATAACATGCAACTTTGTAACTTCTACAAACAATAACATGCAACATTGTAACTTCTACAAACAATAACATGCAACCTTGTAACTTTTACAAACAACAACATACAACGTTGTACCTTCTATTGATAGCCGCCGTTGGCTCCACCTCCTGCCCTTCCTTGACAACATTTCCAGCTCTCGTATGCAGACTACATACTCCGTGATTTCAAAATCCACTGCATAAAAACGTAGCAAATCCAACCAGAGCTGGCCCAGTCCCATGTTGTTTTCCGTCTTCCATGTCTTAGCCTGTGCAATGATAATTTTGAACTTTTATACACCAATTGATGACAATTAAATTACAATAGTAGAAACAATCAAGGATTTACTTCATAACACACAAGATTACACTGTTAGCAGTTTGTCAATCTCAGTGTGACACTGTCTAGTCTAGTTTCATTCCACTATAACACCGATTTTTATTGTGTACGTGATGGCATAGACTGAGTCTGTCAACAATTCTGTCAGATTTATCATCCATGATTCAACTAGAAAGGGCAGTTGTCGCCAACTACATGTATAGTATCCCCCTACCCCCGTGTATCGCCTATTCCCCTATCCCCCATGTATAGTATCCCCCTAGTATCCCCCGTGTTCTTTCCAAGATGTGTAAGTATACAAAGTTTGGTCACGCTAGGTAAATTAGGGGCCGAGTTATAGAGCGGAAGGGAAATATGATGAAGGTCAAGGTCAAGGTCATTGTCAAATAAAGGTTGGAGTGACCTGGTTTTGGTACGCGACACACCTCCCCAAGATGTGTAAGTATACCAAGTTTGGTACGCTAGGTCAATTAGGGGCCCGAGTATGGAGCGGAGAAGAGAAATATGGTCAAGGTCAAGGTCAAATAAGGTCGTAGTGACCTGGTTTTGGTAGCGCACTAGGTCAATTAGGGCCGAGTTATAGAGCGGAAGGAAAATATGATCAAGGTCAAGGTAAAGGTCAATAAAGGTCGCAGTGACCTGGTTTTGGTACGCTGCGCACCTTCTCCCCAAGATGTGTAAGTATACAAGTTTGTAGCGCTAGGTCAATTAGGCGCAACAACAGCTGGCGACGACATCTGATGCTGATGCTGATGCGGCAGCGGGAGAGTCTGCGGAAGAGACGCGTCGAGCTCTCAGCGATCAACAGCTGGCGACGACATCTGATGCTGATGCTGATGCGGCAGCGGGAGAGTCTGCGGAAGAGACGCGTCGATCTCTCAGCGAACAACAGCTGGCGACGACATCTGATGCTGATGCTGATGCGGCAGCGGGAGAGTCTGCGGAAGAGACGCGTCGATCTCTCAGCGAACAACAGCTGGCGACGACATCTGATGCTGATGCTGATGCGGCAGCGGGAGAGTCTGCGGAAGAGACGCGTCGATCTCTCAGCGAACAACAGCTGGCGACGACATCTGAGGCTGATGCTGATGCGGCAGCGGGAGAGTCTGCGGAAGAGACGCGTCGCTCTCTCAGCGAACAACAGCTGGCGACGACATCTGAGGCTGATGCTGATGCGGCAGCGGGAGAGTCTGCGGAAGAGACGCGTCGCTCGTCGTGGATCGTTCTGCGGCGCGCGGCGCTGCGAGGCGGCGGCGACGACGCGCAGCCGATCGGCTACGGCAGCGGGAAGGAGCTGGAGCACGCGTACGCGACCGAGCATCGCAACGGCGCGCAGCTGCTGCTGTTCTGCACAGTGGCGGGCGCGCACGGCAGCCCCACGCTGCTAGTCCCCGCCGAGCTAGCCCTGCACCTCGTGCGAATGCTCGCGGCGGCGTCGGATCTCGTGGACGAGAGCACGATCAGTCACTACTTCAACAGCCGGGCGCGGCTGTCGCGGCTGAACGCCGGGCGCGAGAGTGCGACGGCACAGCTCATCCTCGCAGCGTTCGTCCTGTTGCAGAGGGAGGCGGCGTCCAACCCTCGCTGCCCCACGATCAAGTCCCTCCTCGCGTCGCACGTGCTCGCGAAGCGCGACGGCGGCGAGATGGCGGCGACAACGCTGCGCCGGCACCTGCTCAGCAGTCGGTTTTACGTGGACGTGTCCGGCGGCGCGCAGCCGAAGTTGGACTCCGCGGAGGTAGAGGCGCTCGTGTCGTTGCATATGCGGCAGGTCGTCGAGGAGACGTGCGCCGCGGACGGACGGGTGACTGTGATAACGTCGCTGAAACCTGAAGCGGCGAATTCGCTCGGCGGGGAAGAACGCATCGGGTACCGGAACGGCGATCAACTCGAAGTGAAGTTGGCCATGCAGTCGTACTACAAGTGCCACTCCTATTTCGAATCGTTCTGCAGCTGCCTGACCGGCGAACGATTACACGTGCCTGCGAAACTACTGGTGCATTTGATTGATTATCTAGTCGTGTTTTGGAAGCGCGTGAACCTGGACGACTTCGCCGCCGCGTTCACGTCGTTCAACGGCGAACTGATGTTGAAAAAGAACGAGAGCTGCCTTCTCCGGCTGAACGAGTTACTCCTCTACGCGCTGGCAGCGCTAAAAGCGGACCAGCAGGCGTGCGTTGCTCACGGGTTGTTGCCGATGCTGTCGTCGCTGGTCGGTGTGAGTAAGTCGGACGCAGAGGCTACGACGTCTACGCTAGCCGACTACCTGGCCGACTGGTGCCCGCGCGCTGCAGCCGCCGGCTGGTGCGACAACGACGAGAACTCGTGCGATCTCAATGCGCTGCTGGAAGCGCACGATGCGTGGCGCCGCCTCCTGAAGGTGGCACCGGCGTCGCCCTCCACGTCGTTCGCCGACCTCGTGGAGAAACGCTGCCTGTCGGATGCGGATGCGGTTGTCAAGGGGTCGTCGTCAGGCACGCCGTACTCCGATCAACTCGTGCAGGACCTCAAAGAGTCTGATCTTCAGTTCACGTTTGGAGTGGACGAGCTCACGAATGGAGAGGTGAGAGGCTGCTATATAATCCATCGTAGTTTCGCATAAAAGAGATATACTACGTTGTGCATCGGGGCAGGGTGACAGACAGAGTTTCTTTAAAGGAGTGAGGGACAGGAGTGTGATTAATTGCTGTCTCGTTATTGCACAAGTATTGCTCACTCATGCTTGCGTATTTCATACGTCTTGGTACTATTGTCATTATTACTGAATGATTGTATATTCTATTGTTTTTAAACAAATTCATGTTTAAGAATAAAGTCGGTAACAGTAAATAAAGTACAGTTGAGGTGCTTATGTAAGATATCAAGGTGTGGTTTCGTTTAGAACGAGTTGAGTATATTTCCTCAAATTTGCCGTGCTGATTGATATAATTATTACTGAACTGTGTTTTTTTTCCAGGCACCTGAATTAATTTGCTCATTTTGTCAGAAGAGCGGTCATCTGAATAATGTGAGTTGATAGCAGACATTTACGATTTTAATTCAGAGTAAAAACGTATTCATATTTATGTATTCTGATTTGTATGTCTTTATTTAAACTTGTTAGTTACCAGTAATGTCTTTGTAATGTTTACTGTTTTAAATCAAACTATCTACGCATCTAAGGGCACTTCGGGTTGAAGTTACTCCAACAAGTGGTTCTTTTATTGCTGTATTCTGCAGAGCAGTAGTGTGCACATTGGTATGTGTTCGCACATGCTTTCAGTAGGTTTAGAGAATGCCATTATTGCATACAATCGGCATTGGAATTTAAGCATCCCACTATGTTCGCTTATTCGTCATCAAATTGTTGTGTGACAGGATTGTCCGGATGAAATAATCCCAGAATTGCTCCCGCTACCTCCCATGAAGACGGGATACTTAAAAATGCTGGATTCTATCTGCTATGCAATTCTAGGTGAGCATAATAAATGTGTGATTGCCAGCAGCAAGAGATGCTTTGCATGGATAGACTGGAAATTTACGTTGTAACGCTAGAAAATTATTACCTGTGTTTCTGCTTGTATTTTAACAACCGTTCATATAGTCAAACCTCAGTTATCCGAACATCAATTATCCGAACAAGATCTCAAGGTCCCGTGAATATTTAACGGTAATACGATCAGATCAGTTTTCCGAACAATCGGTTATCCGAACAAAATACTCCCCGCCCGTCTCGTTCGGATAATCGAGGTTTAACTGTAATGCAGAAGATAATTGTAGGCGGTTTTTTCCACATGCAGACCAATATGCACCAGATACTGCAGAGTTGCAAGAGAGAAGCAGAGTCCTGTTTGAAACGCAGACTTTTGTAAGGAAAGGCTTCCCAGGTGTGTTTATATAGCATATCTATAATGTCATTTCCAGTTTATGTAAGCTACAATGGCAGGCTTGAGAGTGAGAGCTAAGGGATCAGAGTGGTCTGTTGTTGTGAGGTATAGCAAACTTTAAGTGTGAATTTTTTTATTATACAATGCTTTCTTGGCATAGCAGTGTGTTCCATTGTTGTATGATCATTTTTACTACTTTATGGAACTGGAAGCAAGTCGTTTTTACTTAGATGTAAGCACCTGTTATAATATAGTTTTCTTGTATCTGTTGTTTTTAATCGTATATGAGTTCTAATGTGCCCGTCTGTTTTGGTTGATATTAAGTTTTCTTGTTTGTAGATGCTGAACTATGTCTGTTTGGTTCCTCTGTCAATGGATTCGGATTCAGAGGAAGTGACTTGGACATATGCATGACTTTTCAGAATTCCAGTGGCGAGGTGATAATAATTTGCATATTGTTTGTAATAAATGAAGGTTTTCCTGTGTATGTTCTATTGATTCTTAATGATTAAGGTGCCAATGAAATGTCATCATTCGAAGTTTAATATCAGCGGTCCTACTGGCATAAATCAGAAACTTGTTAATTGGAATGAATATATTTTATATGTTATTATGTCATAACAAATGCATTAAATAGCAAGGGCATAAGGAGCTCAATAATGACATCACAAGTTTGAATCCATGACTTGTGAATTACATACTGAATTCCTCATTGTTTTTGCTTTTGTCAGGGTCTCAACCAAGCTGACATAATTGAAAATCTGGCTAAGCACTTGAAAAGCTGCAAGGGGCTGTACAACGTCTGTGCGATCTCTACGGCAAAGGTGCCTATTGTCAAGTTCAAGCACAGAAGGAGTCAATGGGAGGGAGACATCAGTCTCTATAACCTACTGGTGGGTGTGAATTCATATTTATCTTGTGTTAAATCCAAGAAATTAATTTACTATCGAAATTTTTGATCTCCCTCCAGGAAATCTTCATCAGGTAGAGATGTCACCATAGGTGGCAGCAGGTGGGAAGGGAGGGAGGTCGAAGGGAGATCGAAAATTTCGATAGTAAGTTAATTTCTTGGATTTAACACAAGATAAATATGAATTCATAGTTGCAACGAAATCCAATGAACTTATTTATTCACTACTGGTGGGTGTACAGGAGCGAATGACCATCCTGCAGTACTCCCCTCCTCCCCTCCCCTATCCAGCGCTGTAGCCTACCAACTGACCTCAGAGTTATAACGTGCCTTGAGTTGCTGTAACATAGGTGCTTATATTACCGCGACGCTGTTTGCAGGCCCAGAACAATACCTCCCTGCTGAGCACCTATGCTGAGATCGACGATCGAGTGAGAATACTGGGCTACGTCATGAAAGTGTTTGCCAAGGTAATTGCTATTCTAATAGGCACAGGCCAAGCGGCATGTTGCAGTTAGGTGCACAGAACGCACGGAAATACGCTGGGTAGATTTCTTGATAAATAATAATTAAAGTTCGTACCCTCTTTATTTTATTGCACAGTGTAGCGATTTTCACAGGATATTGCCCTGTAATGTCTGTCGTCCATTTATTCATACATATATTGTGGTGTTGTGGACCTGTCTATACAAGATCATATAGATAGCTTCATTGTATTGCGTCGTGCAGTTTACTAGGAAGGCAATATTAATTGCGGCTGTCAATTCCTCCGTGATAAACGACACTTTTGTTTTGTAGTGAATCCTCTCCTACACATACACTCCTATAAGGCGTGCCCAGTCATTGACAGCTCTTGGCACAACTCTGCATGCAAGTCACCATCTGCTTTTCCGTTGGTGATCTGTTGTTGCTGCTGCTGCTGCTGCTGCTATATAGAAGGTACAAGTAGCGATCTTGTGTAGAATTCGAGCGGCCTACGAATAGGCTTGTAGCGGTCTCTAGTGGGTAGAATTTGAGTTCAGCCTGAAGGGCCTAATTAGCTTTAGCTTTTTGGCAAATTTATAATGACATTTTTTCGCCAAATTCAACTTTAATTCACATTTGGCGAATTGGCAAACGATAACTTAACCCCTGCCTCTACACTTGGAAAACTAGGGTCGAAATTTGTACCTGGTCATTCCATGGTTTGGTAAAAATCCTAATATAGCATTTTGGTCTCATCAAAGGTATATGTTACTTTGTGGATCCTTGCTAGGTGCTATATAACGTGGACATGCAGAGAGAATGTGGTGTAGTTGCAGTTTTATTTCCTGAGTAATATATTGCAGATGACCCTGGATTAATACTGGTTTATTACAATTAACTGTTAACTCTTTAATTGTTTCATTTCTATACACTGGTTTTTATATTTTTTTAGATCCCTATACTAGAGGAAACTTAGGATGGGCTCTCAGTGCCCCAAAATTGTGGGACTACATCTATGACAGGCTAAGAGGGGCCTACAAGTACTTTGGTGTACCACAAACTGTGGAAGGACCCCTTTTCACCTGCATCAAAAACTCAGAGTCAATCCTCTTATTAGACCTGAGAGCAGAGCTACAAGCGCAGCAAGGTATGTTCAAAGTCACTGCCCATCATGCTACAGAATATTGTAAAGAAACTGCAGACATAGCTAATAATTACATTACTCACTGTTTGTGCTCAACATTGCAGTGCTAGTTTTTGCTAATGACAGATATGATATGATATGATATGATATGATATGATATGATATATATATATATATATATATATTGTATGGATTATGTGTTGTTAATCACTTCATTTTATGGAGTCTACCTTTTTCCTGGGCAGCACCAGGCTTGCTGCTAGTATTAAATTAATGTATGTATAACATGCATTACTGCATTCTACAGTTGAGGTAACTAAAGGCAAGAAGCTGGCCGAAACAGACTCCATCAAATCCCCAAAGACCGAAAGTCGAACCAAATCGGAAGAGGGGGCAGCAGTCAGAGATGGAAGGAAGTTAGCGGATGCGGCTCCAGCAGCGAGGAACGATGCCGCCCCTCGGACAGACGCAACGACAAGTCGCTCGCTTCCCGTCGCCGTGGCGACGCCGCAGCTGCTGGACGACCCTGCCATCGTCGCCAGCGGCCGTCTTGCGCAGCTGCCGACCCCGCAGAGCGAGCGCGCCGCCGCGCCGGGGGAGGAGCCAGCACAGAGCAGCGACGTCTTTGAGAAGCTGTTTGTCATGATGCGGGAGTCCGCCACCGAGGCGTTCTCCGAGACGACGGCCGCAGGCGAGGTTTCACGGCGCCCGGATGCAAGCGGGATCGATCCGGACGTACGCGCCCCTTCCCCGCTCGCGGATCCTCGGAACGGGAGCGTTGCGAACGATCAAGGTCAGCAGGACGACAAGAGAGGGAGGGAGACGAGGAAGGGAGGGAGGGAGAGAGCAAGGTCACCTAATAACGTTCATGCTCAACAGTATTCATTATACAGATATGGTTTGCTTGCATGAAATTCAGATTTTTTGCATCGGCCCAGAGGGCTACCAGCCCTCACAAATTTTGTTTGCTGTTTAAACCAGAATGGACCTAAAATAAGAGTTGAAATGATAATTAAAAAAAAGCTTGTAGTGTGTGGCATCGCATAGTAGCTGTTGAACAGACTATAATGCAGATCATGAATGATGTCCGAAGTGTTTGAATCAAGTAAAACAGCAATGTAGGCTACTTGCTCATTAATGCTATAAATAAAAATGTAGGTACTCGCTAACACAGCTGAACCCACCGGCTCGGAGGGCCGGTGTTTTGCCAATGTTACTGGCCCTCCAAATAATTTGCCGGCGTATGCCTGTGGGGCCGTTGCTAATCTCGCGCCCTGCTTGTCCCTCCACGTAGCACAAGGTGTGGCCCCACCTGAACAAGAATAAGCAGACATGTGGAGAGCTGTGGCTAGGCATGCTGCGCTTCTACACGGAACGATTCAACTTCAACGAGCAGGTGGTCAGCATTAGGCAGCTGCAGCCACTCATGCACTTTGAGAAGATGTGGAACTTCAAGACGCTAGCCATCGAAGGTACGCGTGATTGCATGTGTGCGTGTGTCTGGCAAGCATTTTGTATCATAATTCTGATAGGTTCAGTGCTCGAAATCTCGCTTCCAAGCTCAAAACCCAGTTTCAGAACTCGAAACCCACTTTCGTCATTGCTAAGGCCCGTATCTAGGATTCGTGACGTAAGCGGTTTCAATGCATTGTTGATTTGTTGCATTGTTGCATTGATTCATTGTTGCGTTGTGTGTAGTGACGTTGTTGGAAACCTTTTTCTGGCTAGAAACCTAGTTTCTTAATCAAGAAACTAGGTTTTGCGAGCACGAAACCGGATTTCTTGCGAGGAAACTTGGTTTCTCGAATCACGATACAAAATGCTTGCCATACGTGCTCGCACCCTTTGTTTCTGTGTGCATACTTGCGTGTTTGCGTGTGCAAGAGGGTGTCCAGGCAGGCGAGTGTGGATGTAATTGTTCCTAGTTTTTCCTCGACCATCTGTGTCATGATGTCTACTGTATTCTCACTGCGCGTGCGTGCGTGCGTGCGTGCGTGCGTGCGTGCATGCATGTGTGTATGCTTATCTAGCCATTCTGTCTCCGTGCTTGTTTTTCTAACAATCCCCCAACGCATCTTGACTATGTAGAGCTCAATGTAACCTGTATAGCGTGAAGAATTCTCCCTGGCAATTTGTAGCATCTGATCGCAGGTGTGCTGATCTAGATTCATAGTCTGATACTAATACTCAGTGATTTTTTTGGCCTTCCTGACAGTATATATCATATCTGCACGTTGTACTTTTAATTGAATTCACAATAATATTCATTGCCTTGCATTTAGGCATTTTTTGTGTATGCAATGTACAATTTGTTAGACAATGTACTGATTTTATATGTGTATGTGTGACTTGCAGATCCTTTCAATTTAAGCCACAATCTTGGCCAGGGGCTTCAGAGAAAAAGTAAGTTTTGTTATAGTTGCAGCATTCGTAGTGATATTCCTCGCATGTCGAATTTATCGGCTGTGACATGGAACTATTTGCTAAGAGTGTTCAAAGTAATATTTTCTTGACATTTCTTGTATGTGAGCTTATACAGTTAAGGCTGTGACATGGAACTATTTGCTAAGAATGTTCAAAGTAACATTTTTTTGTATGAGAGCTTTGTAGAAGGATAGCAGAGGAGACTGCTGCTGCTGCTACTGCTACTGTTGCTAATGTTGCTACTGTTAACACCGTCTGCGTTTGCGTTGCAGGTGTGTGATATAGGCGATGCATCTCGGGGCAGCCTCTCGTCCTACGCCTACATTCTGATGGTTATCTTCTACCTGCAGCAGTGCCAGCCGCCCGTCGTACCTGTCCTCCAGGAGGTACTGTATACGCCATATTTTTCGCGTACAGATATTTTCGCGAATTCAGACTTGACGTACAATTTCGCGAGTGGTTAATTTTGCGGTCGGTGAATTATGATTTATTCGGTATTATTTGGTATGAATTATTCGCGTGTTGTTATTTTCGCGGTCTGGGACACGTTCGCGAAATTCGCGAAAATTAAACCACCGCGAAATATACAGCTTATACAGTATTCTAATTCTTATAATTCTAATAATTCTACTTGACCTCAACTTCATATCCTGCAGCTAGTTAGCTGGGAGAGTGTCACCATTTCCGAAATCTGATCCTTAATGCTTCTAGGTGCTATATATCCTCCTATGTGTGCAATGTTGAGTTTAGACCATTCTTTAGATAGAGCCTTCAGGGGTAGGTGCCTGGGCCACAATTAAAAATATCTTTGGTTGCCCTCACCCGACCCAGGCTGAAAAGTTTGGGTAGGTAGTAGGCTTTTTTTGGGTGTGCTTGTGTGGAGATACCTTTTATGTTGAATGTTTGTTTTGCTTGGTACATATAATGTATTGCCTACATATTTACATAATGTACACTGATACAATTTGTAAAAAAAGAAGAAAGAATGGGATAGATCAGCAAAGTTTTTTGAGTCGGCCCCTTTTTGCCGGTCAGTCGGGTGAGGGCAAACAAACAATATTTTCATTATGGCCTTGGTGTGTGCCGCTGCCCACCCATCTTGCCCATCCATTTATATGTATTTCATTTATGAATATTACATGTTTATAACATGAATGTAATAAACCTTTAATGTAACAAAAAAATGAAAACATTAAAAATAAAGCATTCGTGTTATAAAAATGTTATAAACATTTATTAAATATAATGTTTATAACATTTTTATGTCGTAATTGTTTTTCATTTATGTTGTACTTCTCTGTCTGTACGGTTTACTGTGGTGAGACACGAGGAGTAGGAGTCGTGAACTAGTGATGTATTCGAGAACGTGCGTCTGAATTCATTTTATCGTTTCGATAGCTTTACAGTGGAAAGAAACCAGAAACAATTGTGGAAGGCTGGAATGCTTGGTTTTACAAAGATATCCCACAGTTGGTAGGTATTTGAGTTTGCTGGTTAAATACAGAGAAAGTGAGAATAAGAGAGATAGCGAGAGAGAGAGAGAGAGAGAGAGAGCAAGAAAGAGAGAGAGAGAGGGAGAGAGAGCGAGAGACAGTGAGAGAGAGAGAGAGAGAGCGAGAGAGAGAGAGAGAGAGAGAGAGAGAGCGAGAGAGAGAGAGAGAGAGAGCGAGAGTGAGAGTGAGATTGAGAATGATAGAGAGGGAGGGAGACGAGGAAGGGAGGGAGGGA